CTGAGGCAAAGAGTCCAGAGAGGCAAAGGGGAGTCAGTAGGCAGTCATTACCCAGGAGGCAAAGGGGAGTCAGTAGGCAGTCATTACCCAGGAGGCAAAGGGGGAGTCAGTAAGCAGTCATTACCCAGGAGGCAAAGGTATCCAGAACGCAGGGCAAAAACCAGAAACAGGAAAACATGCAAGGGTCAAGACAAGAATAGGAGCACAAAGTAACATATGCTTGGCATATGTCTAGCAAATGGAAGCTAGGATACAGAGAAGTAAATACACTGTGGAACAGGTAATCAGGTGGAGAAGGGCTGGGAATCGATTCCAAAAAGAATCAGCTCCCTGATCCCAGGCAGCTAGGAATTGAGAATCAACTTCAAAGCAGTTCACCAAAATGTTTCAGTTTTGAGTTCTCCACATGCCTGTCAAAAAATGAAATTGCATGGATTTGGATGGAGGTTCTGTGAATGCCAAAAGTGGAGTTTTCAGGTCCCGAGAGTACAAATCCAGATCAAGATTTTGTTTCAACCAAACAGTTTAGTATAAAGAGTCATAGTCACAGAGTACTCAACTGGCTGGCTGAAACAAAATCTTGGTCTGGATTTGTACTCTCAGGACCTGAAATCTCCACCTCTGGTGAATGCTGCGTGTTGATGACTGCCTTGATTGGTCGCTGTGGTGTTGTCACTTTGGCAGTTGACATTCTCATCGGATTGGATTAATTATGTTGACATCTGAATATTACATCTATTTAGTTATGTCCCTCGGATTTTTCATTAATATTGGCTTTTTGGTTGATTACAATGTTATAATAAAACACACCACATGAGGGTCCTCTGGGAGTTAGGGAAATATGTATAATATCAGTGAGAAAATAAACCCTATTAATAAACTAGCCATCCTTTCATTTTATTTTTGTGCAAAGCTTGTAAACAAGCCTGTCACAATGCGGGAAGGATGGAGGCAAAGGCAGGCACTGGGGAAAAACCAAGGGGCTTTATTAAAGGGAAACACAATGGTAGAGGAAAAGGAAAATGGACGACAAGGGGTCAAAACTAGGCAGGGCGAGCCAGGAGCATACAAAGGGCGCAGGGCAAACGGAGGGGCACAAGCATGACCGGACTGAGGAGCTCTGAGGAGGCACTATATACACCACAGATGAGGGAGCAGACGAGAGCCACCATGGACGAGAGGCAGGGTTAAACAAGGCACAGGTGAGGCTCGTTAGAGCCACACAACAAGGAACACGGGGGGAAAGGGCATCTAGGGTGTGACAAAGCCATAAATGATGAGGTATGGTATAATATATATCATTTAAAAATGTATACACTATATTTCCAAAAGTATTGGGACACCCCTCCAAATCATTGAATTCAGGTGTTCCAATCACTTCTATAGCCACAGGTGTATATAATGCAGACTGTACGGAGTTAATTTTGTGCCAAAAGTATTAATCAAAATTTTGAAAACCGCAAGCAAATTATTAAGTATCAGAATGAAAATATTTATTCCAAATATCAAAAAAGTCGAATAAAAGCATTTTTTCCTTCTTCTTCTTCCTTCTTCTTTTGTTTTGCTTCTGGAATGTTTTTCTTTGCTTTTGAATTTTTTTTTGTTTCTGGAATATTTTTCTTTGCTTTTCATTTTTGTTTTTTTTTGCTTTTGGAATGCTTTTTTGCTTCTGACTTTTGGCACTGTTTTAACGGGTGGGCGGGCCTTAGCAGCTTACACGTCTATTGGTCAGCTGGAATTTGGAGTGAACACGCCTTTATCCATCTGAGCACGCCCACTCCATGACGCTTCAGAACATCGCAACATGGCGGGAAGCTCCGGAGCCAGTTTACAGCATGGAATTGCATCTTTGCAGTTCTATAATAGTGTACTTTTATTTGGAATCGGTGTATGCAACACATATTTCGCGTTCATAAAATGTCACCAACCTATCCAGTTCAGTAACTTTGCTATTCCAGCAAGCTGACCAGGGAAGTTTCTAGCTATTGAAAAGATGAGGGGCTAAGTCAAGTTTACGTGGGGCAGCCGCCAGCAGTTTACACCTGGAAGAGCAGATCCTGTTTTCAAGGTTTGGGCCTCCAAAGGTACAAAATATGTTACGGATTTACTGTATATCACACTGATTTAGACAAGATAATATCATGTGAAGAGCTGAGAAGCAAACATAAACTTTTTAACAAGTATCTTCAATATACAAATATATACAAAAAACAGAAACATGCTAAAGAAACCTCAACACAAGTTGAGGTCATTTAAGGAAAGAAATTACATGAGACCATTATAATTCATTAATATTTCTATCAGTGGAAAATTCACAGTATAAACTGGTGGTATAGAGGGAAGATTTAAAGTCTGAAATTACAGAGGAAAATCGCCTGTGCTAAAGTTGTATTACTGCAATACAATTGGCTAATGGAAACATAGGTCATACCGGAGAAATTTAATAAAATTATTCTAGATGTTTGTCTTATGTGTAATGAAGTGAAAGGAACTCTGTTCTATTGTGTCTGGGAGTTCAGAAAAATTTGAAAATTTTAGGAGGATGGGAAAAATAATATCTAAACCAATCCTACCGGCTCCTAAACTTTTTCTTTTTGGTTTATACACAGAGACATATAAATACAATAAGAATGAATGGACCACTGATGTAGCACAAACCTGGGAGAAAAGTGTTCCTGTTTGCCTGTTGTTTATGTTAATTTTGTTTGGAAAACTCAATATAAATGTTTAAAAAGCATGACAATATAAACACTGGAAGAAAATCTTTACATCAAAATTCCCAGGATAAAGCATATTATATAACTATGATTTATACAGAAAAAGGTATAGTCATAAAAAACACTGATAATTTTAAGACTTTGTGCCTCGTTCTGCTCTGTGTGACTGCTGCCAGGCTGGGAATAAAAAAATCCATTCAATACATAAATGTCCAATAAGAAACCCATTAAGGAGACACAATGTTTAGAGACCACAATTTACTGCCGTACTGAACAAAGAGTTTGGAAGATCACTGTCAAAGCCTCTATTACCAGCCCAATTGAGCACACAGCAAAGGTTGAATAGAGACAGACAGCTGAACTCTCCCTTGATAAGAAACAGTCAGAGAGTTCACACAATATTTGTTTATTACTCTTGTACCTTCCAAAATTGGTATCAGCTTTCGGGCAATGTCAGTGTGTGAGATGGACTTTATGAAGAACAGATAACAGTGCCTAGGGACAGAGGCACATGAACAGGGACAGAGGCCCCTTACGATGGGAAGGGGGCTTGGCAATGGTAAAAGCTGTCAATTAGGGGGTCTTTTCCAGACCCCTTTTTAACAAACGCTGCTGGGAAAACAGATGCATTAAGGTGTGACGTCTGTGAAAAGCAAAATGGCTGATTAAACACATCCCGGGGAGGAAGCGGTTAAAGTTGAGTGATGTTATCACAGGATGTGGTTGTTTACATTCAGCTGACTAGTGGCACATCCAGGCTCAATGAGCATTCAGCCCCCATAGATTTTACTCAGATAATGTGTGCTTCTAAAAACATTATGTTTTGCCGATTCAAGCTCAGTGTTGGCTCATGGTACCTGATGCAACCTTGACAGTCTATAGCAAGCACCCGAGCTTCTACATCTAAAAACGATCTACATGGCATGACACAAGACACACAAGCAGCCCATCTGCTCATACAGATTGATTCAAGCTAACGGAGGACAAACAGAGCTATCACCGAAGAAGGTTTTTTTACACTGAGGGACAGTGCTCTTTGGACTCAAAGGTGTTTAGTATACCTAGTGCTTATCTAAGTTTTTAAAGTTCTAAAAGTTTTAAAAGTCCAGTGAAAGTTCATGGGGCCTTAGGGGGCTCAATGGAGTCACACCCCCACTACTCATGTTTGCCGTCTCTGCTCCTTAGCAAGTGGCTCACCTTGCTGGTCATGCCAATCGCGACGGATGTGCAAACGAGCGCCACAGCCACAAACAGGCAGACGAGAAAGGCGGGCTCCCCATCTCCATGGAGACGAAGGTACAGCATGCGGCGGCCCCGGTAGTCCAGGTGCGAGGCCTGCAGCTGGCACAGGGTGCAGAGGACCAGCAGCGTGTGGAAGAGCTGGTGGCCCTGACCCAGGAAGTCACAGCGTCCGGCCAGCCAGCGTTCAGGCAGCAGCAGAGTGAAGAAGAGGGCGCTGGCCAGGAAGAAGCCCACCTGCCCGGCGTGGAAGAGGGCAGCAGGGTCCTGCTCACACGACGGCAGGCAACCCCACAGGCGCCAGAACACCGGGCTGGTGTCCCAGGCATAGGCCAAGGCAGACGGCAGCACCTGGCCCAGCTTGCGTATGGAGCTTGGAGAGCTATGACTGCAGTACTTTCCAAAGCAGCAGCCAAAGCAGGAGAAGCAGCAAAGCAGAGCCGCCACTGGCATGAACGGGCCAAGCAGCCAGTGGGGCCAATCGTCCGGCACCGCGTAGTGGAAATGCACCGCGGCACTGCCGTACTGGTAAAGGGCCACGCCCACGTAGTCTAGGAAGAAGAGGGCGTAGTGAGTGAGCTCAGAGCGGGGCGCAAGGAGGTGGGCGACTGTGCTAAAGCTCATGTAGCAGAAAGAGGACAAGAGAAGGATGAGAAGAGGCCAGGAATGGGCATCGCCAGCGAAGTCCACCACCTCTGCCAACTCCCTGAACCACACCAGGACCAGCAGCGCCCCCAGCAGGTGTGTCCACACGTTGACCGTCTCGTTGTGGCGCCGGAAGAGGGACAGGAGATAGTAGCGCCAGTCCTGGTGCAGTGGCCGGTAGCCTGTGAGGACGTGACGCTCCCTGAAGAAGTGGGGCACCTCACTGTCCCTCAGGGTGGCTGGCAGGCAGGGCACCACCGTCACCAGCCTGTGGGTCACCTGCTGCTGGGACACGGGCAGACGGCCCTTCCTCTCCATGGCAACAGTCACCATGACCGCTCGATCAGGTGGGCTCAGCCTAAATAAAAAATGCAGAAGTCATAACTAAGAAGTACACAATGTATACATACTATTCTATAGAATATAATTCATAGATGTAATCTGTTTTGTGAAGAAAAAAATGAAGCACAATTTGAGCAACCTTATGCATTGGGTGTCTTCAAAGGTTTGACATGGTAGAGCCTGAAGCAAAGGCGTGAAAGGAACATTTTTCACTCAACCAGTCTGAGAACCTGTCACTGATTTCAAAGAAATCTGTGCTGGATTCTGGCCCCCCAGGACCAGAACTAGGGAACCCTGCTGTACAGACCGGCATACTTTCCATGTTTAAGCTGAAGCAGTGAAAGACACTGTGTTTGTCAGCGTTATCAAGGGGAAATCTTTAGCTGTGCAGTTTCCCAGTTCAAGAGTCATTGCTTCTGATAGCAGAGCATTGATACAACATCAGACAAAGTGCAACGTCAGACAAGAGCAAGTAAAGACGTCTTTCACAGAATATTCTACTCATTTATTATTAGTACATAGGTGTAGAGGAAAACGGTCCCTCTCTACCTTCAGATAATAAAATTTATTTTTAAATTCTTGACTATTTCACAAATATAAGTTGTACATGTAGTGTATAAATCTGAAAAAAATGAGTGTTATTATTCAACATAATTTTCTTTAGTGTGCATCATAAATGGCACTAATATACATCAAAATCTATACGAGCTTCGTTAATAGACTACTTCTATTGTAAATGTGGATTTTGAGAATTCTGCCTTACTTGTCAGGGGACGAGGACAAAACATAACTTAATGTCTATAAAATTGAACTAAACCGTGCATCCAGTTCACTTCGTATCGTGCTTAAATAAAAATGTCTATGTAAATTCGCTAAAATTCTAAAGGTTACTTAGGGATGTCAAGCCACTTTTATACATTCATCTATCATCTGTCACTGCCATCCACCTAATAAAGAATCGCACGCCCAAAATGTGACAAATGTGATATGTAAAGCGCTGATTCATATTTTGGCACCGTTAAGTTTGAAGTACCATGAATAACTCGATCTATACCTTAGTACTGCTGTATGCTGCAGAAGAAGCCGCTCCTCTGCGGTCGCACTTCGCTTGCAGTGCCCTGCGCTCTCCACCCAGGGACCAGGCTCGCAGCCCGCACTGTCATCCAGCGGGGCGGGCACAGGACGTTCAACAGCGTGAACCGCTGCTCAAGGCTGCAGTGAAATCGCTGCTGGAAGGTGCAGCAATGGGCATGAAACGGATACCACTTTTTAACAGATTGCAAGACTTTGATAAATAAGTAAATGCAAACGTAGGCGTGCCTGCGTCGCACCGTAACCCGCGATGTCCTCCACACTCCGCCAACCCGGAAAGCGAAAAAACCGGGGGCGGGTGGGCGGTGGTGTCATGAAAGTTTGCTGTATTCTGCTTTTATCTAATTTTGTAGTTCTTAACCCAAACCAATGATAGCTTAAATGTTAATAAAATCGGGCTTTGCATCTGTTGTTGTATTAGGCCTACTAATTGCCGGCTTGTGGGCTTTCGTTGATTTTTTTTTCTTATTTTACTGTTAATCGGTATCAGAAATTATATTTTCAGCTCGAATGCATAATATAAATCTATAGGCGTAGTTTATCATTTTAAGTAAATATCTATACAGACGCTCCTCTACTTATGAACTTTCAGAAATACGAACAAAAAGTCCAAATTGTGATGATTAGGCTCCCGTTTCCTGTCCGTAACATCAATTTATTTTTTTTCTGCGCGCCAGTTCCGCCTAGTACGACATCTGGCCGCTACTCCCGCCGCGCAGCAGCGTAGCGTGCGGACTCCCAGCATCCTAGTTCTTTGTAGGCCTACTTGCGTCTACCGTTAAAATGATGTTGAATAACGACTTACGAACATTTCAAGTTACGAACGGCCGTTCGGAACGTATCTCATTCGTAAGTAGAGGAGCGTATGTAGTTTTATATAGCTGAATAATACAACACTTTTTTTTTTAGATATTTATAGGCTACTGCCGTGACCATTTAGAGTTCACTATCTATGATACTTCATGTCCATACATGGTCTGTTGTGTTATTATGTCTTGTGTGATGTCCTATGTCCAATAGTATTCATATGTCAATTTTTGCCACTACAGTCACTTTAAAACATCACTGGGATGTTCATATCCAACCTCGCCTTATCCGTATTAACTGCACTGGTGGTTGCATTTACTGCACCTTGCGCTATTTATGGTATTTCATTCCCATACAGGGTTTATCGCATGGGCGTAATTTCCAGGGGGGTTAGNGACTGTTTATGGGTCATTCCACCAAATCTGTGCCATTTCTGTCCACAGCATGGGCGTAATTTCCAGGGGGGTTAGGGGGGTCATGACCCCCCCAATAATCAGATCCAGCCAATATAACCCCCCCAATAATCATGTTTCCCCTGTAATGGGTGGAGACCTCGACCCCCCCAATGTTCCAGCCAAAGTTACGCCCTTGGTTTATCGTGTTATTAAGTTATGTACTTTGCAATGTCTTACGTCCAAAATTGTACATATGTCAATTTTTCTTCTACACTGCACTCTAGTTATGCCTGTGTATTATGATGTAATTATGTAATGTCCTGTATGATGTCTTATGTCCAAGTTGTTCATATGTCAATTTTTCTTCTACTCAGCACACCTTAATTTACATTTTTAATTACTCATTATTGTGAATGCACTGTTTGGACTGTTGTTGTACTCTGTATAATGACAATAAAGGAATTAAATCTGATCTTAATTGTAGTTCTAATCAAAAACTCCTACGACAGCAGAAACTCACTGAAAGATACATTAACCCTCGTTCTCTCGCCTCTTCTTTCTAACACCATTTGGGTATCCGCGATCCATTCATCTAACCCTTTATCCGGGTCATGGTCATGGGAGGGCTGGAGTTTATGCAAGGCAGCACAGGAAACGAACCTGGAGAAATTCGCAGGATTACATATTTGACATTTCATAGAGAGTTACAGACAAAGGTTACAGATATAATTATATTAAATTCCTCTGAGCAAGTTTGGTTACTGAGGGAGAGCTGTGGAACTCTAATCCGAAAAAAGGAGATCTGGCCTAACAGTGCATTGGAATGGCCAGTAAAAAAGTTGAAAATAATTACCAGTTGTTTTGTTGTGTCATAAAATCATTTCGCCTGGGCTTGTTTTTATTACTTATTTGCTCCCCTATTATTCCGTTATTTAAAGCATGATTTAAAGCGCCCCTCCCACCCTACTGCAACAGCACTGTGCCTCCTGTGGAAGCCTTCAGGTTTCTGGGATCCACAGTCTCCCTAAAGTAGGCAGCTAACATAGACACAACTGCCAAAAAGGCCCAGCAGAGGATGTATCTCCTGCACCAGCTCAGGAAGTTCAACCTGCCTCAGGAGCTGCTGTTTCAGTTCTACTCCACAATAATCCAGTCTGTTCCCTGCACGTCCATCATGGTCAGGTTTGGTTCGGCCACAAAACAGGACAGGAAGAGACTACAACGGACAGTCAGGACTTTAAGAAAAATTATTGGTGCACACCTGCCCTCCATTTAGGACTTATATATGGCCAGAGACAGGAAACGGGCAGACAGAATCACTGCAGACCCCTCACACACTGGTTACAGCCTGTTCAATCTCCTCCCCTCTGGCAGACGCTACAGGGCACTATATATAACAACCAGACATATGAAGCCTTACTTTCCCCAGGCTGTCACTCTGATGAACACTTAAGTATCAAAGACAATACTTGTGCAATAATCTGCTATCACCAAGTACCCACTGTACTTCATGTATACATAGTAACCAGCATTTTGCACTATGCACTTTTGCACTATGGCCTTCTGGCTTAAATCTCTTCTGTACAAACGGTATCTAATTGTTTTTTTGTAGTCCCATTTTTTGCTGTATGTCTGTCCTCTTAAGTGAACTGAGAGCGACGAAAAACCGGAGATTTTTTTTTTTGTATGTGTAAACATACTTAGCCAATAAAGCTGATTCTGATTATTCTGTGTACTACGCAAATTCTCCCATCAAAGTGTTTTTTTTTCACCATTATGTAAGTTCAATATATTTAATAAAAATATGTGTTTAAATTTACTTTAAAATGACTGTGGACGTCATATAAACTCTGCCTTCAAGCAGTATAGTAAAATGTGTGAGATTCCCATTTCTATCTGGCTGCTCCTGTAATAATTTAAATAACCACTAGAGGTCAGTGTCTCTGTGCAGTGAATTACTGCTGCCTTACTTTCTGGAATTTTTCAGTCGTGAAATTTAGAAAAGGTGAGAAATTTTGTTGACTTTAAAAAAATGAATACTATGAAAAGTGTGAAAGATTTAGTTTGTCCGTGGTACCGTACGACTCACTACAGCGCTGTGAACCCATTAGGATCTTTTGGCTACTCTTACCAAACATGGGCCTATTCAACGGGACGCCTCTTATACGCAGCTGTGATTCCACTGAGGCTTGACCCTGCAGGATCTGCAGTTTCACCAGCCACTCAATAAGAACTTCTGAGGGCAACAGAGGCTGTTTAGCTGCTGGCTATGAGGACAGTATTTAATGTCTCTTAATACAATTCCAGTAAGATGGAGCAGTCAATGGGCCTGAGCTGCAGTGGGACAGCCATCGATGAGCATGTGAGACCCCCCCGCTGCCTGAGTTTTTACCTACCTGAGTTTTTGTTCAGACCCTTTTTATAAGACCTTAATTTGGAATATTTATTTATTCTTTTTCTTTTTTTATATGATAAGTGTCTCATTATAGATCAGGGTTATTCAAATCACGGTCCTCAAGGGCAGAGCACTGCTGATTTTCCTTTACCCGTGAGCCAGGTGTGAAGCATCTGTGGCCAATCAGCATCAGTAATTATTAAACTAACTACCTGGGAGAACTGAAAACATGGCCTGGATTTGGAATTGAGGGTCAGATTTGAGGAGTCTTGTTATAAAGCATGTCGATCACTGAAGATGGTCTCACTTTAAAAAATGTGGATGACATTTAAATGTCAGACCTTTCAGTGTGACCTGTTAAAGCTCACGCAGTCTCAGTGCCACAGCATAGCCCCTGACCACCCTAACAGGAGCGTTTCTCAGACATTTCCGGGAGAGTTCCTCTGGCTCCTGGATGCTAAAGCTACATCTGTATGCAGCCTTTGTGTTTCAATGCTACGTCACTTCTGCTGATTAGGTGATCTCTGCCACTAGAACAATGCCTGTCTATCTAACACTGAGCTGAACTAGACGTTCCCTCACTTTTGCCACCTTGAGACATGGGCAGGCTTAAAACATCATGGATGCGTGTTGTATTTCAGTCTAACAGGTTTAGGTGCTGCTTATCCAAATTGTTACTTCAAAGTAAGTTCTAATTCAAGACCTTGTGGCCCCAGTCAAAAATTAGTGAGGGACACTTTAGTTTGGGTCTGAGAAAGAACTTCTTCTCACAGCGTGTAATTGGAGTATGGAATTGTCTGCCCAAGGGGGTAATACAAGCTAAGACCCTAGATTCCTTCAAATCTAAACTTGACAAGATCCTGGCAACTTTAAATTATTAGTTTAATTCCCTCCAAGCAAGCTCAATGGATTGAAACGCCTCCTCTCATTTGTAACTTTATTATGTTCTAATGTTCTAACTTACAACCATTTATCCAGAGCAAACATGCATTAACTTATTTAAGGGAAATCGTGCCCCAGCTGTGAATACATCCATCAGTCCATCCATCCATCTTCCAGTGGCTTATCCGGGGTATCCTCAGTGTTTATACCTGTCGCCAGCTCCCAGACGCTAGGTGGCAGTAACGCACCTCTGTCCAGCCGACAGCGTGCTGAAGTGGATCCGAACAAGTGGCAGAAGAAGAACGCGGAAGCGATGAAATTAATTTTTCACTTTTGGTGATGGCGGATGTGGCCGAGATAGACACTATGAAGAATTATCACGGGGGTTTCGAGAAGATCGATGCCGATACGAGTCGTTACCCCTACTGCATCGTTTGGACTCCTATCCCAGTGTTATCGTAAGTTAGTTTTGTCTCTAATGTGATGTTTTATTCCATCGTGGCTCGGTGTCTTGGAGCACTAGTAATGCTTTTCCTAGGAAGAAGGCAGCTCGCAGTGTGACAGCACTGGCTCAGATTCCATTTAACGTTAGCCGGCTTGTTTTCCATCACTCCAACAGATGTTTGGTCATGAGTCGGATTATCATTTCCAGTGGTGGCGTTTTTCCGCATGATACCGCTGGGAAAAAGTAAATAGATGGTGTTAATTATTATTTTCTGTCACGTGGACACACGCGTCATCACGACGGCATTGTGAAGTGATGAATAGATAAATATACTGTGATAACTCACAAAATCGGCCAAAGACTCGGCGGGACTTGACCACTTCGAGAAAAATGATAGGTCGCCACAAAAACTCTTGGCTTGCCGGGTTGAACATCATTGACTCGAGTTAAACAGATAGCTTAAGTAAAGTAACTGATATAATCTTTTGTGTCACAAAAAGTTATAAATTTTTATATCTGTCAAACATTAAATATTTCTGTACCAGGTAAAACACTACCTTTTTATATCCAGGACATTACAAATCAGGTCATTAGTAATGTCCTACTTGGTAGAAATGTCATTCTCTTGGTACAGAAAATTATAGGGTGGATAGTTCTAAAACCATTACACTTACATTAACATTTTACATATTTAGCAGAGGCTTTTGTCCAAAGTCACATAGAAGTGAGGCTAATATTACAGTACAAACATATGGCTGTCGAGGCATAAGTACAGATAGGCTGAGCTTCCAGTGAATG